TCATATCCAGATGGCCTGCAAGATTTCATGTCACTTGTGAACTCAGAACGAAGAATGTCTGTACCTCAAGATGTTCTCAATCACCATCTGATTCACTTGATCATCATCGACGGAAAGAATCTGTGTATAAGTCAGTATCGACAGCATGTTCATCATCATCATTCTTCTTCTCCGTATCAAATGTCAATGTCATTGTCATCATCACCATTGCCTTCTACTTCACTCTTCTCACCTCGTACTTTCCAAACTTGTCAAAATGGAACTTCATGTCTCTCTCCGAGGATTCTGACAACGGCGAGAAATCTGACATGGAAACAAGTTACACATGAACTCAACCCCGACAACTCAAGCACCATCTCCTAGCCTGCACTTGGTGCAAACCATCGCCAAACTTCCTTTGCAGTTCGGGCAAGACTTGTCGTCAACGTGCAGGGTGCGGATCATGTTGAGGTAGGCCTGATGGAAGGAAAGCAACATCACGACAGGACAAACAGACAACGCGATGAGAAGAGCGAAAGCAACATCCATAAAGTCACAACCATCACATTCGGAAGATGATAACAGTAGTCCAAGGTTAAGAAAGAGAATTTGTGATGTTCGGCAGGAAATGAAGAGATGCAAGAAAATACAAAAGATTCCATGTTGAAGCGTATGAAGAAGATATGAATCATAATACACGGCGACAAGAAGAAACCTATCTCCCTCCCTCACCTGATGAGCAGCAACTCGTGGTTTGCTCAGTTGACCTTCTACGTCCTCTCTCAGCCTCTCAGGACAATCCTGCAAGCTCACAGTCAGAGCCCCAACTCCTCTCATACAAGTGCAGACTCATGCAAGTTTCACACTCAGTCACAAGATGTCACAACAAAAGAACATACATGTCGAACTGCATGCAAGGGAGAAGACAAGACATCATAACAAGTAGAAAGAAAGAATCAAAGACATTCCAACATCCATCTCACACAGCAGCACGTCTGCTCCATCAAAACTTCACCTGCACGCTGGTGCCTTGCGCTTCCGCTTTCTTCAGCTCGAGAACATGCTCGAACTCACCGACTTTCATCTGCCGAGGGCAAACAATGAAGGGTGACATGAAAGACAAAGAGGGGAGAGAACGGACAGAGGAGAGGAGAGGAGAGGAGGAGGGAGGCTGGCAGGAGGCAAGAGTTGAGCAGGAGAGGAGAGTGAGGAGAGCAAAGTTGGTGAAGTAGGGAGGCGAGGAGGTTGAGAAGGGGAAGCAGAAGGAGAAGAAGGTTGAGCAGGAGGATGAGCAGGAGGATGAGCAGGAGCAGGAGCAGGAGCAGGAGCAGGAGCAGGAGCAGGAGCAGTTACCAGGTAAGACTTGCGACCAGGAGCGTCGGTGAAGAGAACCGTATCGTCACGACTCTCAAGATCATCGTAGGTGGACTGCAAAGAAGGTGAGCAGAAGGAGGGAGGAAGGGAGGGAGCGACTAAGTTGGCCGGGAACAAGGATGAAGAACAGAGGATGAATGAGACTGAGAGAGGAAGCTGTGGAAGAAGAGGACTAGAGGAAGGAGGGAGGAGAGGGAGAAAAGCAGAAAGAGCGAGAGGAAGGGAAACAGGTAGAGAAAGAGCAAGAGCAAGAGTAGGAGCAGGAGCAGGAGCAGGAGCAGGAGCAGGAGCAGGAGCAGGAGCAGGAGCAGGAGCAGGAGCAGGAGCAGGAGCAGGAGCAGGAGCAGGAGCAGGAGCAGGAGCAGGAGCAGGAGCAGGAGCAAGAGGAGCAGCAGGAGGCATCGGACCTGTGAGATATGAATGCAGCCATGGAAGCCAAGAGACGTCATGTCCCATGCCTCGTAGATTGCCGTCCCGAAGAAGGTGAAGTGAGCGTTCTGAGGGAGAGAAGAGGTAGAGGAAGAGGAAGAGGAAGAGGTAGAGGAAGAGGTAGAGGTAGAGGAAGAGGAAGAGGAAGAGGTAGAGGTAGAGGTAGAGGTAGAGAAGAAAGAGATTGTCAGTTATCATCTTCTGCAGACGATGATTGTTTACCCTCGAGCCAACAAATCCCGAGTAAGCCTCTCCTGTTGATATTCCAATCCGAAGCTGAGAAAGTAGTGAGAAATTCATTCCTTGCTTCAATCCTCTTGCTTCTCCTATGCTGCATCCCCTCGCACTCTCACGACTCCCCTCCATCTCCATCTTCCTCGTCCTCGTCCTCGTCCTCCTCTTACTCGAGGTCTGACAGCTTTCCCTTGAAGGTTGTACGACATCTCGTCCGCCACTTTCAGAAAGTCCATGGCAACTTTGATGAGCCGCCTGCTGCTCGAGATCGACGAGTCCACGTGCTGCACCTCAATCAGTTCTCCTGCTCCCTCTCCTCCTCTCTCTTCCCCCCTCCCTCCTTCTCTCCCTTCCCCTCCTCTTCCTTCTCCTTCTCCTCCTCCTCCCCCTTCTTCTCTCCCTTC